AACTTCTGTTTATACTGTCATTTTTCTTATCAGTAGGAGATTATTTATACAGAGCCCAACCCAAGTGCTTCTTGTTTATCTTATTACAGACACCATTAAAAAAGTTTCTATAAAAAGCAGCTCCTGTATTTAGGACCAGCACTAATAAGTGTTATGCTAGGTTTTTACTTCTTATCAATCATTCCTTTATTTTCAAGTCACCATTTAATACTCTCTTACTATTTTCCGATCTGCCCTCTTCTCTCAGTATACAAGGCAGCTCTGTAGAATGTCTTCCAGGTTTAATTTTCCCTGTCAGATTCATTATCTAAATGACTTTTAAAGTTTCAGGTAATTTTATAAAGATGATGAGAGCCTAAAAAATTGTTCTACTGCAACAGCTGACTTTAACCTTCAGCTCTGTGTTCCTCTCATGCATCCTCCTTTTCCATCACTTCCCATCCCCTTGCGCTGCAGCAGAGGAAAAACAAAAGGAAAAGCCATTTACTGTTGCAGAGTCTGTAAAGGCAGGGCTGCTCAGTGAGCTTTGTAGAACTGTGGCTGATGTAGGAATGTGTATTCTAAAAGTGCATTACAATAACAGAATTAAGATGAGAAAAAGGAGAAAGTTATTTCTGAATGAAATCCTAAATGGCTTGAAGAATTAGCGAAATAAGGTAAAATGGAAGCTTCAAGGGGCAGAAGTTGCAGTAGAGGCTCCTGCACCAAGGACAGAATGCGACAAAATACAGAATGGAGTCAAATACAATCATAAGCACAGGGGAAACACTACCCTCTCTGATGAGCTAAGCCAAGACCTGCAATTTGAAGACGTGCAAATACATTGGTTTAGCTGAAGTTCATCACTTATATATCCAATTTGGCCAACTTCAAATCCAGCTGTAATTAAGAAAAGGAAACAAAAGTTTTAGGTTCCTAGCTGAAGGTCTAATACCACTCTGTTCAGATGCACTATTTCTCCTTTCCCCTCTCCACGCCATTCTCCTCTTTCACACACACACACAGACGCACACGCAATTTTTTAGAGTAGTAAAGAAATTGGTAGAGATTGAAAGGAGAAAGTTGATGGCATGGGTAGCCAAGCCAAACAACTCTCTTTCTGGACAGAGCCAGCCATAAATTTTTCATTTCATTTCTTTCTTGCCTCTCTTCCCGGGGCAGAAGAGATGAATGCTAAAAGCTGAGGTCACACTACTCTGCATTTATTTGAAGTGCTAAACAAATGATTTCCAGCTGACGCAGGGTGGTAGCCAGTGGTTGGTAAGTCAAACATGCCCAACATCCACACTGCCTTCTCCAGAAACAGCTTGCTACGCTTGTATCACAGCAAACAGTGATGGAGGCTGTAAGCATGCCAGCCTTTGTGGGTTGCTGATCTGTTCCTGCAGAATTGCCCCCTTTCATGCTAGACTAGATCGAAGGAAGAAATTCTTTAGAATGAGGGTGGTGAAACCCCGGCAGGGGTTGCCCAGAGAGGGGGTGGAGGCCCCATCCCTGGGAACATTCCAGGCCAGGTTGGACGGGGCTGTGAGCAACCTGATGTGGTTCAAGGTGTCCCTGCTCCTGCAGGGGGGTTGGGCTGGGTGGGCTCTGGGGGTCCCTTCCAACCCAAAACATTCTGTGATTCTATGATTCTATGCTCTTTTGCGGCCTCTTCATTGGCGAGAACAGGGTTCCACCTCAATGTGCAATATAACAAAGAGGACCCTGAGACATGGATCACTGGAAGCTGAACACTATTCTGAACAGGTATCGCTTCACTCTCAGTCCTCCCCAGTGCTATCTGCTCCTGACCGCTCTTTGGGTTTTATTTATCTATTTCTTCTCTTGTTTACCCAATGATGTACAGAACAGCTTTACCAGTAAGACTAAGCCTGTAAATATAGAGATGATACCATTTGGGATCATATATTCTGCAAAATATCACTTCTGTCTATACAAACTGCTTTTTTAATGAACCAAAAGCTGTTTCCAGGCCTTCCTTGGGAGCGTGAATGAGAAGGGATGTTGGATACAGCTGAAGAATACACAAGTCAACTAGCATTCATCAGGCCTACGACAGCTCTGGAAGTGGGAGCCCTGGGACACATCCTTTCTGCTCCGGGTCTCTGTCCCGAGCTATTTTCAGTCACTCTTCACCATACTGTGCTTTTGAAAGGAAGCTGATGGTTCTCCCGGTAGTGCTGAGCACGCTCTTTAATCTGGTCCCTTCAAACATCTCTTTTGAGATTTACTCTTTCTTTCAGATAAGCCCTAACTATGTACTTAATAGTGGCACGTAAGTCCTACAGCCTTACACGAGGCTATGGGTTATATTTAAAATGAATCAGCTCCCGTAGACCTTCCCACCAAGCATATGGAGGATGACACAGTTCAACTGCAAAGGGTAGTGGGAGGAAGAGACCGGTGCGTCACAGCGCAGCGCAAGCCCTACAGCTATCTCTGCCTGAGAAACTGCATCACATGCAAAATATCACTTTCTTTTCTTATTTGAGAGGTCTGTAGAAACACTAGTGGGTCAGCTGCAAAAGGATATAGCCGTTTAACCTTTAGATCTACCTGGTTTCCTATTGATTTGGCTTGAAAACAAGATAACACCACAGTGCACCATTAGTTCAGTCTTCGTTCTGTCCCACTGACAGGCTCGGAAGAGACATCTAGTAGTATTTTCTCTGATCACATTCTGGATTCTCCCCCCGTGTTACGCAGGGGGGTTGAGTGGGGTGGGTGTGAAACTTCATCGACTGTGTAAGAAGTGGATGGTGCCGTTTACTCACAGGAGGCACAGCCTGGCAAAGAAGGTGAAAGCTCCCAGAGGCTAAGTGCCATCTTAATGACTTTTAACAACTGAAATCGAAGAAAGTAGATTGAGGATGGAAGGAGCAAAATGATCAGGTGTGAAGAAACTGGTCTTGACTTTCCTATGGTCTGCCTGCAGGGATATCAAGACATGCACCGAGACACCTAGCTAATTATAATTAGATCAGCCTCTTTTGCTGCTACAGACTCTGTTGTAAATTTGGTGTAGTGATTCTGATTCAAGGGCCCTGTAGGCAACAGTCCCACTGACCAAATTCTGCAGTTTTTTTCTTCCTTACATTACTGCTCTTGAAGGGGAAGCTAGTTTGACTTGCTGTTAGATGTGAAGGGTGTTATACAGAGGTTAATTCAGAGACGGGTTATTCCAGGACTATATTCAGGCACAAAAGTAGGGGAGTGACCCACTAACTACCAAAACTTCAGAGTTCAGGTACAATTTAAGCAACCAGATTTAGCATTCAATTTTTGAAGTACTAGTGCTAACATCCGATAAGGCTAATAACATTCCTTAGAGTTACACAAAATGTTAATCTCACAATTTTACAGATGAAATTGAAACCAGGGAAGGACAAGTAATTTTGCCCAAGATCACAGAGAAGAGTTGGAGATGTGGAAGGAATTCCTGGCTCCAGGGCTCAAGCACCCGTTCTTGCCTGCCTATCTCAACAGCGAGCATGTCTGCAAACCCAGATCTCCCAGACAGATGGGTTCTTATGACATTTCAAATACTGGAAATACCATAAAAGAACAACTTCCCTCCTGTTGGCTTGGCATTCCTAGTCATCAAGGAACCTTAAAAACAATCTATTTCAAGATCTTTATTCAAGCTTGGGTTTAAAAATGAATAAATGTTACAGGCGTAGCATGGGATTGAGCTATCTGTATTGTGTCATCAAGTCTTCATCCTAAATATGCCACCAGCTACGCTGTTCTGGACAAGCAGCGCGAGCCTGTAAAGGAGAACTAATAGCACCCCACCCCACGGAGGAGCAGTAAGGCTTCGTTACTCTTTGTGTAAAGCTCTGGAAACGCACCCAAGGAAGAAGTGGGTACCACTGCAGTCCTTTCACTTGTCCTGAATGAGAAAGAGAGAAGGCACAGGGCAGAGGGCAAAAAGAGAACTACTTCTCCTTCCAGGTAAAATCTGAGCTAACACGGTCACCCCCTCAACCTCACATCTGATTTTCATTAATCGTGACTCAAAGGCAAGTGATTGAAAACTTCATACTATCTGACTCCTGGATGTAGTGATACCAGCTATAGCTGTGTCTCCTGACTATTCATATACATTTTATAATACAAATACATATAATATATCTCTTTCTCTATATATATAGAGATGCAGATACGCATCTATTTGCCGCACTCAACAAACAATTTAAGAATTAAGGAAAACCGTTTTCATTTTAAGATAAGAACTTTGGGCTTATTATAATGCTGTAAAATAAAATCTGCTAGCACAAGCCACAAAAAAAGAAAAAAAGAAAACGTGATTCACTGGGGAAGTGCCATGATGTGCGGGACAATGGGTCTTAAATCAAAGGCATACATTATCATGACTAAGCTGACAGATCTGCACTGCAATGCAGAAAGCCAAGCAATATTCCAACATCTGCACCATGCACAGATAGGCAGTTAGACACAGTTTCCCAAAATGAAGAAAGGACTCCCCGAGCTCTTACCTGTTACCTGTGCAACAACTGCTTGGGAAATTCTCCGATTGGCTAGGAAGGCTTTGATTTCCTCCTTTATCACACTGCTGTCCCTCCTACCAAAACAAAAAAACAAAAGAACGCACAAAAAGACAGACAGACCAAAGCGCACTTTGAAGATGCAAAATGGCTTTATTTCCTTTATTTAGGGGACAAGGAGTGAGGAAGGCAGGCATTAAAATAGTCAAAGTGCCTCACCAGTGGACACTTCTTTTAACAAGTGTCACGTTTGATCAAAGTACCCTAGCAGGAGAATGGATGACTCATGTCCTATATAATTCATATTAGGTGCAGCACTGCCATATGGAATGTACAAAGTTTCATTACACAGGGATGAATAAATCTCTCATACCAGCATAAAAACCTCAGTCATAAAAATGAGGCACAAAAATAAAAAATAAAGGATAGCAGGGTCTGCATGGTTAGCTACACAAATGAGTACACACACACAAACCTTCTCCCACCATTCAAGGAAAAGACCCAAAGGAAAAAAGATTTTGCAACGTCTAAACCCCCACCCCTACTTCCTTAGTCCACAGCTTGCAATGAATGAACAAGTGTCAGTTCTTTAAAGCCTTTGTATGATTTTTACAAGGTGTACAAGGATAGTTCAGAAGCAACTAAATCTGTGTTAAAAAGAAAATAATTTGGCAGTTGCACAGGGACTGTGATGTGCAACAAATTTCAACTGCACTTAAACAACATACTTATCCCTCCTCTTCCTCACTCCCTCCCTGACAGGGCAACCAAAACCAGACTTCATTAGGCTTCACTGTTTGGTAATTTCCCTTCCCCTTCTCCCCTCCTGCCCCAGCAGCATTCAAGGCAGATTCAAGCTCGCAAATGTAAATGCAAAATAAATGCTATGCTGTGGATTCATTGTTATTTCTGTACCCAACACTCATCTTCCATACGCCTGCAAATAAAAGTAGTTTCAGTTTAAGTGAATACTAAAAGCGCTACCTGAGACTTATTGCATAGGAACCCAAAGCTCAAAGGAACGATTACACTCCAGCCATGGGAACTCCTGCAGACTGCTCTACTCACCGCCTTCCTGCATTATTCCATTACCCTGCAGCCAACAGTAGATGAGGTTGATCGGCTTTTCTTACTGCTCATCTCTAATCCTCTCCCTCAGAAGCCACACCTTGACCCTAAATCTCCAAACTAGTTCAAACATGTTTTCATCCTGGAGCATATGGACCCTAGTTCTCTCATAGGTACTTCATAAATGTTGCAGTTTGGGGGAAAAAAATACATTCCAACATTATGACCAAGAGACATTTGGCCTTTCCTCTCATTTCTTTTTGCTATCAAGCCCACTGACTCTGACTTTCATCCTCAGTGGTATAATCCCCTCCTTTCATCTTTGCCATAATGCTGAAAAGGAAGTCGCTAAAAGTAAAGGAAGGTCAGTCTGGAAAAAAAAAAATACAGCTGGCTCACACTGCAGACTTCTGCTTCTTCTTTATGATTTGTATTTTCCTATGCCAATCTGCAGACTACGCAAATGAGAGTCAGCCCCTGCCACAGATAACATACATGCCCTGCAGATCCCTGTGGAAAGCGTTAACCAAGCAGATTCCCTGCTCCCCCTTATATAAGGAAGGAAATACAACTGGTATGAAGTAGTGGAGGAGTCATGGGAATTGACACTCAGTTAGAAGCCTTCTGAGTAAGAGTAGGGCGGCAAATTAGTGCACTAACATCAATTTCAATTTTTGGTACAGCGTGGGAAAAAGTATTTCAACAGTAAAATGGCCTGTGGGATACCCACACATGGCCAGGGGTTGTCTACAGAAAATTAAGAGGCAGGTGAGAAGTACTGAGATAGCGACCATTAGGGAACTAGTGGGGAACAGCTGTCTAATACAGTTCCTGCTTTCTTGATAACACCCATCACTACTACAGCAGTCCTCCAACATGCAGATTTCTTCTGAGGGAATTCTCATTCTCACTCTGACCTTCTTAAACTCTTTTTACAAAGACTTCTACTAACCTCATCAGTTCTTCCACTTTGTCATCAATGTCCAAGTCCTCTTCAGAAGCTTCAAAACTGTATGACCTTTGAGCCAAGCTGTTTGCAAGTGGGTAGCGGGTAGGTGACATCTTCCCGTTGAATGCAGACAACCTCTCGTTACTCTCCCTCCCATTCTGATTAGTAGTGCAAGGCTGTGGGGAGGTGTCGTAACTGTTGCTCGGTGATGGGGACATCCCGGAATGCTGGGTCTGTGTTGAAGCTGTGGCTGTAGAGGAAGATGCTGGGACATTGTTGGTACTGTTGCTGTAGGAACCACCTCCATAGCTAGACCTTCTTCCAAATTTGTCACTATGCTCTTGATCAAGACGATCCAAGGTTTCCAGCGCGTGGAGGATTTCATGTCTGGTCATTCCCGTACGTCTCAGGCGCTGAAGCAGGTCTATCTGCTCTATGGTAAATCTTGGTTCGTCTGTGTAGTGAGACATGGTTTCCAGCAGACTAAAAACAAGGTAAAATGTAAAAGGAAATAGTTCAGTTCAATAATTCTCTGTGGTACATGGAAAAAATACATGCAGGAAAGCTCAATTCTGGTCTAAAACTTTAAGTCACACACATGACAGAGCTGGCAGGCCAACAGTCCACCTCCAAACAAGCTCAGCAGGCAACCTCCCATGAATGCTACTCTCACTACGCAGCACAAGGGCTTATTTTCTTTGAAGTGCTCAAATAGCTTTTCTCTCTTCTCCCAGCATTCCCTACCCCTTCCACAATAAACCTGCACTTAGTTCCCTTTTGCTTTTGATAAACCACTGCTACAGAGAGACAGTGTTTGCTCAATAATTAAGGCTGCAGCTTGATTTCAGACAAAATTTTGCCCATTCCTAAGTATCCACCAGACAGAAAGCCCAGATTCCAAAACTGTTAGGTCGAGGCCGGAGGTTGAGTTCTTCTGGAGATGTTTTAACCAGTTATGACGTGAGATTTATGAATCTCAGCTCTTTCAAATCTTAAGTATGAAGAGTTCGAGCTGTCCTAACTTTTTGTTGCTACCTTGAAAAAAAGATGATAAAACCACACCTAGCGGAAATTCTAGTGGCCTGTAGGATCAAAGTTGATTTGACTGAAGTCCCATTTCTGAAGTTCCATTTCTGAAGTTAGTAACTTTTGAACCTGGAATGTTGTCACGGATCGCCTGCCCTAACAAGGGAAGTGCAGCACATCCAATTACTACTGAGCTTTCATTTAAAGAAGTAAGTCTACAGCCTTTTCCCCTCCAAAGGCAGGCTTCTCATGTAACTCAATCATCATGGTGGCTCATCAAAAGCATTTTTAACTCTTAAACTTCCCAAGGTGCCAGAACAATGAACATGTATTTGCTGCAAAGCCCAGCAATGGAACTGCAAAAAAATCACAATATGCTCTTTTCCTTCCTAAGTCTCCTCACTACAGATCCAAATGGCATACAAATTACAAGTTCACCTCCTTCAGAACTCAAGATCTTGAGAAGAAGGGATGGCAGATGGAGGGCAGACAGAATTTGGCAAAGAGATCAAGGCATTTTCCATCCTTCTTATGAATCTTCTTATGAGTCAAGGGTTTATTACAATTCCTGCAGGAGAGCAGGGTGAAGAGATCACTCAAACTCCAGGAGACATGACAGAGCTAATGTACAATCCCTACAAGCGAGAGCAGACGAACAGCAGCCTCAGGAAAGTCAAGTAAGAATTCCAAGGACCCTATGAAAACCAGAAGAGGGATGATGGCTGTCACGATTATGCTAGACCTTGCAGGGACAGGGCTGCCTATTTCTCCTCACAAATTTTGAAGATCACTCCTCATTTCTATTTCTGCACTGGCACAGAGAAGTCCCCAACAGGAGCCACAGAGTGACAAAACTTTTTCAATTGCTGCATTTAATCTTTTTTCAGATATGTGAATCACAGTAAAGTAAACCAAGCCCGTAGGTTTTGGGGGTGTAGCAAGGGAATCTCTCCAGGGGAGTAACATCTCACAACACAGAACAGACTAAGCAATGGAAACAGGTCTATCCTTGGAGTCAGGGGGTGTAGCTGTGTCAGTACTAGTAAATTAAATAGAGCTCAGGTAGAGGCACCATAGCATCTACCCACAGTCGTCTGCAGCATTATTAAATCATTGTAACTGTCTTTGGCCCAGTTTTGGTCAACCAGTACACTCCTGACCAACGTGCAGACTTTTTTCAAGATTTTGCATGGAGCAGAAACCACAAACGCTCTGTTTGAATGCAGCCACTCAGTCTCAAGGCTAAGAGTGTCTGGTAGCAAGGATGCAGCCAAGTGGCCTTGGGGCTGAAGGGCAGCACCAAGAACTGGCTTGCTTAGTAGAGCCGTAGCTAGAGAGTAGCTGTACAGACACAGTGGTACAAAGGCAGGACGCACGAATCCACAAAAATGGCATCTGCAGCCTGGAAAATACAGAAATGAGAAGCAGCTCCTATCTTCAGTCTCATAAAGCAACGATCGAACCCCTTTCACTGTTTCACCAGTCTGTACGTGGGAGAAGGAAGCAGGAGGACAATGCAAGGGGATGACTCCCATCCAAGAAAATGACTATGTGAGAAGACAGACGGACTACAGCCGTATAAGTGCTTCAGTCCAACGGGAATGTGCTGTCCTTTGGACAATTGATTACTGAAAACGTACAAGCCATTTTGCATTTTAGAAGACAAGCACACAGATTATTCTACTAAAAGGAGGGCACAGCAGCCAACGCAGCAGTAGACTAGCAACTGACTGGAATTGTAACAACTCAAATTTGGAAGTCACATCTCAGACTGAGACGTTCAGAGCTTAACAAGGAGCATTTGGAAACAGACATTGTGTTCTAGGTCTGGCCTCTGCGGTGGTGGAGGCAGGGCTGCTCCATCCTTTTCTCCCAAGCTTTGTGAGAAGCGAAGTGTCGCGCTGACTTACTGACTCACATCACAAACTCCTGTACAGCCTTGAAAGCCCCCCACGTCAGCTCTGAGCAGCATGGTTTTCAAGTAGAAAAATCTCTTCTTAAACATCTGGCCTTGAGATGGTTTTCACTAGATATGTCAGCTCGCCTTTCCTTAGAGATAAACCCACTTTTGGCATTTCTTACCTGTATTTCTCATGTCACCATTTCCTGGATCATTCATCTGTCAACACCAAGTCTCATGTGCTCCAGTACTTGTCAAACTGGAGGATTTAATGAACCAGAACCTCCACCCAGAATTACCTCTACTCAAAATTCCTGCTTTACTGACTCTTCGACATTTAATACCAAAACATACTTTAGATTAGCTAGTTTAACCTCCAGTTTATCACAGACTTAGAAACCCAAAACTTTTGTCCTTCTAGCCCTGTGAACTGAAAAACTCGCATCTGACAAAAGCATGACTTTCCAGATGGCTTCAGAAATGTCAGGCAACACAGACCTCACCATTTCCTGCAGCAGTTTGTTGCCACAGCCAGTCATTCCCTTTAAAATGTGGGTGTGATCCCTAATTTGTCTAAAATGTCAGGGCTGAGCTTCCAGATCTGGGTTCTCAGGCCAAATTAATATCCTTCAGTGAGTTACACACAATCCTTCAGTGAATCCTAAGTATCCTTCAGTGATTTACTAGTGAATTACACATAATGAACTCCAGTGTTCTTATATGCAAGAGAAATGGTTGACCTTCTGTTGTACGTGGCTATATGTGGGAAAGTGATCTGGCCTCCAATTTGTCCCACTTTGATGCAGCGGGGATCTGCTGTGCATGTGCAGTAATTCCAATCGCCCAGGGATGCAAGGGCCGCTGGACAAGGCCATCCTCTGCCCTAAGAATAAGATATTCAAGGACTTCCAACTTGTGTTCTACAGAGTCCTGGTAATCTGTGGACTGCTGCTAAAAGGCTTGCAGAAAGTAATCTAAGAGCAGCAAACCTACCCTCCAATTAAATCCATTATACTATGTGTGACACAATCGCTGGAAAAATGTTGGCAATTTGAAAAAAAACCAAACAAACAAAACCACAGTCAATGATCCCAGCAGTCTGCCTGTCCATGCAAGGCTTCCTTCCAGCCCTCCAACCCTTTTAGACAACTTCTGTATAATTTTTTTAGCACTTAAAAAGACACAAACACCCAAATCAGATACAGTTTCTCACTGTTGGTCTCACTAATGTCATATACAGATATAAAAACTGCCTTGCTTATACGCACATGCACACCATACATGGCATCTGATGTACTTACTGGTTTTCTTCATTTTCAACTCTTATGCACATTTTCACGTGCTTTTCTACACAACCATGAGAAACAATGCTTCTGAGTGAGTTTTAGTTATTGACAACAAGAACTGAGCATTTTCCATTAAGAACCCAAAGCAAATATTGCAAAACTTGGTATTATTGAATGTGTTCCAACATTGCCAACTATCTACTGCTCTTTAATGAATAACTACAGTACATTATTTAGAACTCTTATTTTAGCAGGGCTTCAGTTATTTTCCCTTTTTAAGATATTTTAATAAACTTGCCCTGCTTAAACATCAATTTACAAAGCAGTTAAGGAAATCAGCCATTTCAGAATCATCATAATTTCATTCACCTCATTAATTAATGGATATTCTCCACTACTTCATCCCCCCTATATTGCTGTAAGAGCCTCTTATCCTCCTGTCCTGGTTTGGGCTGGGATAGAGTTAATTTTCTCCATAGTACCTAGTATGGGACTACGTTTTGGATTTGTGCTGGGAACAGCGTTGATAACCCAGGGATGTGTTGGTTCCTGCTGTGCAGAGCTCACACAGAGCCAAGGCCTTTTCTGCTCCTCACCCCACCCCACCAGCGAGGGGCTGGGGGGCATAAGGAGTTGGGAGGGGACACAGCCAGGACAGCTGACCCCAGAGATAACCCACACTGTATGGCGTCATGCTCAGCACATAAAACTGGGGGAAGAAGAAGGAAGGGGGGGACGTTGGGAGTGATGGTGTTTGTCTTCCAAAGTCACTGTTACATGTGATGGGGCCCTGCTTTCCTGGAGATGGCTGAGCACCCACCTGCCCATGGGAAGTAGGGAATGAATTCCTTGCTTTGCTTTGCTTGCGCATGCGGCTTTTGCTTTTCCTGTTAAACTATCTTTATCTCAACCCACGAATTTTCTCACTTTCACCCTTCGGATTCTCTCCCCCATCCCACCGGAGGGGAGTGAGCTGTGTGGGTCTTAGTCACTGGCTGGATTTAAACCACAGCACCTCCTGAACTCCTCTGGCTAGCTATAATTCAGTTTTCTCCCCACCCAACTTTTTCTCTGTGAAATACAATCAACAGCAAAAGTAGCAAGGAGTAAAATAAGATAGGGACAAGCAAAATGACTGGGGGCATGCAGAAGAAAATAAGGATAGCAAATACTTTTCCTGAGAACAAAGACCGTGGACCGACCGCTTTGCTGTGGTCAAACTTTGGCAAAATTTGCTGCCAATGTAGCGAAATATCCTCAAGGCTAGCAGA